TTTTTTACAAGTTGCGTGCACTTAATTTCAAAATACAACTTCGTTAGTGGATAAACACGAAAACTTGCACTAAATTCGATCATGGTGTAATTTACGAAACAGTCTGTCAACTGTCAATTTCGGGATGTACAAAGTCATTTTACAAAAATTAATTACGACCAATATACTTAATTGCGCACAGTACAGTATTCCGAAATCTATCACAGCTTTTGTTATACTACTTTAAGAAGTATGAAAGACATAATATTTCACTTTTACGTACACATTACATATATATTAGTTTTAGGTGACGACACCTGAATGGCAGCTGAACCTTAAAACAATTAAGTTTAATACTCAATAGTAAAATCTTTGTATGCGATTCATCGTCAAAAGTATCACTCTATGCCTCCAGCCATTTATACATTTTAAAGAGTTTATTCAATTCTTGTACTTCCCCAGGTTTATCATTGAAATTACATTTCTTAACATCTTTTAAGTAAAGTCACGTGCAGGGTTAAATAATAAAAAATATACTAACGTAACGAACAACTCAGAAGTGCCAGTTGTTTAAACGTCTTGTTTTGTAAGTACATAACTTTCAAAATTATTTCATTCGTCGAGCTATTAACACGACTGTACTCCGTTAACAGAGCATCAAACGATTCAAGGAGGACAAGGATTAAATCTAAATTTAATTCTTGTCTCTTTACCAGAGTACCGATGACATTCAATTCTTCGCGGAGGAGCAAGGTGAATAAGAGTGAAAAATTCCTGCGTAATTGACTAAAACAAAAGTGATAACTGCTCCTACAACCGATCCAACCTGCGTAGCAACCCCTGTGTAATAAAGCCCTTTGCCAGGGTCGGATCTAAAGAGAGTAGTGATCGCCATTTTAATAAACCCGATTAGCCCATTAACTATAATCCATGAAGTGACTACTAGAAATTCCCCAAGCCAGGTGCCACGCAGTGGTGGCGATGGAGACTTTACAGCTACGTAGTAAACGAAACTTGAAAATACGAGCACCAATGTCATCAAGCCGGTTAGGAGACAAACTTTTGGCTCCTGGATAACAAAACCTAGACACATGGCCAATGGGCCAGCCATCGAAGCCAGTGTAACAGTTAAATGATAGGCTACGTTTCCATAGGGTAAACAGGAATAAGATTGTATACTTGGTAAAGTACCGTGGCCTAAAACACAGACTAGTGCCATCATCGCTAGCAGATATAGATAAGTTTCTCGAGACATGGACCATCCAGCGGTAGTCTTGTAACTAGGTGGACTATTCATGTCTGTCGGCAGTGTTTCCATGCTACTCGGTGGTTTCACTCTTTCACCACGTGCAACCGGTAACTTATTCAATCCTACGAATGCTAAGAAGCTGAGGGACAAAGAGATCCCAAGGAAGACGAAAAACGTTTGCGTCGAGAACCTAGGATCAGGGTATCGTGCTACTTTGGTAGCACCAATTTCTGGTATAGTTGCGTTAACACACTCAGGATTACCGCCGACACCCTGTACCAATGCTACGATACTCGGCACAAAACCACTCAGCCCTTCTCCTACTAAATATGACAATAAATAAATCTCCCGGTAATTCCTCATATAAGGCATAAAAAGAACAGAACTCGTGCAACCAACTACAGCGATTAAGAACATTAATCCAAGCAAGACGGTGGAGTGCTCTCCACCGAATATCACTGATGTCTTATCATAACTGCAGATTAAGGCAAACGTTGATAACGCAGCTGTCCCTAGAAGACCGTAGATTATTAAATGATCGTATCGCCGTCTGGTATATCTGAAAAAAGAAAACGAAGCACATTCCTTACTTTTAGTAAATACTTTTAATAGATGAAGCACGTTCTTCAGTCTCGCCATTATGTTTAAAGTTTACTTAACTTTGCCGTATTAAAATCAACAGATCCATATAAAATTGTACATTTCCCATCTGATATACCCTCATCTTTTTTAAAATCTAACTTACCATTATTTTCTAACCAAACAATTTTGAAACTCTTTCCTTGGAATTATGCAAAAACAATTGCTAATGCAAAGCTAAATGTTATGAAAATTTATAACCCTTTAGAAAATCTATATCTCTATCTGTGGATTTTAACTTTTTAAAATGCACAAATTTAATGGACATAATCAAAATGTTAATGGTATCTGTATTAAATCTTATAACGTTCCTTATATGCACCTTTAACCTTATTAGATAACTTTATTTCCATCGAGGTTTACTTTCTACTATAATATAATTTCTTATGATGAATTAAAAGAACGCAAAACTTACTTTACATATAATGTATAAAGAATCGGACCCAGATTGGCAACTTGTACTAATATGACCATATATGCGGGAAGGTTCCATCCTTCTGGAGTATTATTCACCAATAGAGGTAATTGCACAAAAATACCATTGATACCCATCCATGCTCCCATTCCGAACATGAGGGCCAAAACATCAACGACGATCTTTCTGTTGCTAAGCCGTTGACTTATGGTTTTTCTCGTACCTTTTGAACAATTCATGTTTGCTACTCCGCAAGTATCAGCTGCACTAAATAAGAAAAACGAACATTAGTCATTTTCCCTGGAACGTACTTCACGTCTTTCATATATAATTTATATAATTACAATGTGACATATTAACGGTATGCTCAGTATACATATCTAATTAAATCCGGGTTCAGATTATCTTTCGGAAGCATCCGTCCCAATGTAAGAAATTCTAAGAAATTACCTCGACACCTTTGATGACGAAAACTTCATCCATAACTATTCCTCATATTCTCAATCTCTCAATTCATACCATAACGGAGTAGAGAAATCATAGTGACTCGAATATAGTGTACCGTCCCTTTGTCAAAGTACAAAAAATTTAATATAGTAACATAAACGTTACTTATAAACTAACCTATGATAAAATGGTAAAAACAGGAGGATAAGGATGTACGGATTAAGTTTAATAAAAGAGAAAAAATCAACGAAGGTAGTAACCTTCATTCCACTTTGCAACTTTACACACGTTGCATTCCGGGTATCGTTGCGCAGGTTAAAGCAATGAATTTGCCATGACTAGACGTTTAGTTTTTAAGAAAAAAAAAGGGGATCACGTTCATCGTAATATCTCATCTTGGGTTTGCGCTACTCGTGCAATAGAAGAGTTTCACTTTTTTCTTAAGAAGTAAACTTCTTGTTACGTCCTAATTCATTGACTATTTTCAGCATCTTCCATCCTTGTCTCTCACACAAGATAGCTATCTACGTGTCTTTTTATAATCACCACTGCAGGCGTAATTTGAAACAACCTGTAGATTGTTATCTCACTTGAGGCGCCATATTGAAGCCTTTGATTATAAATGTATAGACTGCTAACCACTAACTTTATATAGGTGCTAAGACCTCAACGCCATCGTTTACCAAGAACTAACAATTAGATATCATGGGAATTTAAGTTACATGCAAAGAAAAAGTTTCGGACTTAATTTACAAAAATAGGACGTTAGAAGCCGCCATTATACTTACCTAACCCTAGTTCTGTTACATCCAGAGTTGGATAATGCCGCGTCATTCGAACTTTTTTACGTAAAATACTTCCTTTAAGTATTTTACGTAACATTCAAGTAAAATACTTAACTAATTACCCGACAAAACTGGCGGTGCTGTAACCTTACTTTTTTTAAAGTGGCTAAAGTATAAATCATTTGTGAATAAACATTTTAGTCAAAAAAGGAATAATGAATAATGCCAAGTAGGAGTAAACCATTAAAAAGATCTAAGCTTGACATTCTAGTTTTCCATACATTCATAGCTATGTTACTAGAAGAAAAAGAATTTACTAGGATGTACAGATTAGTTTTTGTTATTGCGAGGTTATATTACATTATTAAACATTGAAAACTGTTAAATAATTCATGCTTACAAGGCATGATAAGAAAATTATATTGTTGAACTTCTAATTATAGTACATGTAAATATGAATGTAATACATATTTAAAAAATATGAACAGACTCGAGTCCTCTTCATTACTTTTAACGGTTTTCCATCTTCCCGCCTTTCCTGCCTATACTCCCTACCTCTCAACAATTTTCGATTTACAAGGAATACACCTTTATTTGCAATATTACTAGACCGAAAGTGCTAGTGATCTCGTTGTTTCGTATACCGAATACGTAAATTCGGCGAATAAACCCACGTGAGATGAAAGTGCGAGAAGTGAGCGCTCTCGTCGAAAATTCGTAATAAACGCCCTGATGTTTAAGTTACGTAACTTTCTGAGGGTGATTTATTTAGTGGGCTATTTGAACTCTCTTAGTACATAAAGGTCTTTTTTTTACAAGTTGCGTGCACTTAATTTCAAAATACAACTTCGTTAGTGGATAAACACGAAAACTTGCAATAAATTCGATCATGGTGTAATTTACAAAACATGGTGTAATTAACAAACAATTTACAAGGTATATACCTTTATTTGCATTATTACTAGATCGAAAGTGCTGGTGATCTCGTTGTTTTATATACCGAATACGTAAATTCAGCGAATAAACCCACGTGAGATGAAAGTGCGAGAAGTGAGCGCTCCCGTCGAAAATACGTAATAAACGCCCAGGAGAATTGAGACGTCGCCTCAGACCAACGAATAGGATCCCGGCCGTGACGAGTCTGCCAATCCGGTGGCCTTCTCCCGGCCGCCAAGAGAGGTAAGAGAAAATGGCGGCAGGCTTGCGGATTTAATGTCGATTTGTGTTTTGATGCCAGTGAATACCCCAGATATCTCAAGTGGCATTCCTTGAAACGGCAAATTTCACGACAATCATTCACGCGTCAGGTACGTAATGACGAATTTTCTGGTTTAGTCGAACCTTGATATGAGATATATGCGCCAGACGCTTCTCCGCTGATCCCCACATGTTCTGTTTACCTGCTTTTTCTTCCGAAGCTTCGATCGGCTCCGCGAGGTCGCCACTGTGCCCGTAAGCTTACAATCGGTCAACTGTCCTAAAAGCTCGTTTCGGAATGTCACTCGACGGCTGACCGAATCGCGCGCAGTTTAGTCAGTTATCAACAGGGCGCTAGTCAAATATGAGAGGAGCAAGTTTCTGTCCTCAAATTGAGAAGAGATTTTCTTCGCCCAAGACAGTTTTACAAATCATACCTCTTTCCTCACTTTTTTACAGGGATAAAGCGCTTCCGTGCGATTATTCAATTAGCTACTTATGATTATTGTAATTGTAATTGTGATGATGATTCTTTATATGACACGCTATCGTATCACTAGCTTTACCTGTATTCTGTAAAATTAGTAATTTAGGTGAATAAATGAAAGGGGCTGAACACGTAATTCTGCTGACTTGAATGAATATAACGGCATGTCCGACATGTGTTGGTTCATGTATGAAACATTGGAATCATAATGTGGGCATAATCCCAAACCTACGCGTCATGTGTAAATAAATTTCTGCCAGAGCTTTTTTGTCTTTTGTTTCTGTATCCATCCCTTTCGTTTATAAAGGATTCTGGTAATTTATTTGTATTACTACATTTTGGAGCGTGATCGTATATTGTTATTATATGTAATGTATAGACGCATGTTGAGCTATATATAGCAAAATTTTATCTGGAATAGAGAATTTGGTAATGCTCACGGACCATACCATTAAAGTTATCACAGATTTCACCGAGTCCTATATATAATTGGCACCGCTGGAGCCAGCATGAAATAGATAAATGGGACATTTGTTATCTTTTCCATACCAGCCATTCATTCGAGTTTATTAAACTTAGCTGTGACTTAAACGAATGCTTCTATTTATTATAAAGTTTGGAAATAAACTTTAAATGGTAATGGTCGATCGTAATACTGTAGTACAGATTGGCTTGTACTAAAAATATATAGGTATGCGCAATCATAAGTTAAGTCAATGTTAAAAAACTCTTCATCGGATATTCAACAATATGCTGAAGATAATGCTTTCAACTTGTTACCATGTTGCTATAATGTTACCTTATGTTACAAATGTATGATATTCTGACTCTGTTTCAAGCAATCAATATAACGGTTAACTAACAGCTCGGAGAGAAAAATATACTTCGTTTGTTATCAAGATTTTAAAATGCATGGTGATAGCAAATGTGCTTAATTTGACGATGCGATGTGAAATATATTGCATGCCCATGCTTAAATTTTGAAATAAACTAATGCACGCATCTTGTTTTATTACTTGTTACATGCAAATTTATTATCATTAACGAGCATATGCTTTCTGTTTTTTAAGATTATGATTGTTTTCGTTAGAATTCCATGTGTACTGAGTTCATCTTTATGCGACAATGGATACATCAGAGGACATTGGATCTCAGTTGATGAAACCGGTTAAAGACCTTGCAGAGTGGACATTTCCCTTGGCAGAGGTAGTACCTTTATTTACAAGAAAGATAGAATACTTTATACCATTGTCATACTGCAGCCAAATTAATATAGTAAACAATTTTTAACAGGTACTGGAGAAATACTGTGATAATCTCAACAACTCGTGTGCTATTAACTTTGGTGAAGCGGCACTAGTTCTTCAAAACTCTTCTAATGTTTACATTAGACGCGTGGAGTACCTGTTCAACGATGCAGTTTGCTTGCAAAAATCGTTTCTTGAGTAAGTTTTGGCTATTTTAACTCGATTCTAAAGGTCTTAAACATTAATTAAAAATATTCCATTTTGTTTCTCACATTTAGAACGGAAGCTTTGTCACAGAATGATTCAAAAAAGGATAAAAAGCATCATTCAAGGAGATCGGTTATCAATTTCAACGACTTTGAGCCAATTGCACTAGAAGATGATATAGGGAAAAATATACATTTAAAAAACCACCATAAGGAAGGACAGTCAACTAAATTGCTAAGTCGACGCTTTACTCAGCTCGAAAATAACATACCTCAAGTATTGTCTTCTATTCAGTTTCTTAATATACACGGAGAAGTGATAGGGAAAAAATATGACTTTCGGTAAGGGAAATGACGTAATCTTTATTTCATAGTATCATTATGTAGTTATCGTAGATTTCATTGTTTTCTTTCAGCTGTAATCAACATTTCACAACCTCTGCAATGCTGGTTGATGAATTTACACCAGATGGTAAGAAGCTAATTAAGTTACTCAATAAAATAATGTAAGAGTAATGTTTATATATAAATTTAAAAAATTGCAGTTTTCCATTGAACTTAATAAGTTCATGTTCGAAACTCTAGACATCGACATAAGAAGATTCTGATAGTATTTATACATTATTATAAAAGTTTTGGGTATTAACTTATGAATTCAATGAAAAACGAATTTGTAAAATTCATGCGGAAGAAATGGTACATTTACGTTACTTTAAATATTCGACTATTAAAAAAAAGAAAACTATAGATATCTTCATTGTAAACTCATCGTAATCATAAAATATAATTCAGGATTAAAACTTTGGTCTACATTTTAAAAGGAAGGCATTTAAACACAATATAGAATGTTATTTAGATACATTAAAGAAAATGAAAAGTGAATAGTATACCTACGTTAAACTTACATTTTGAATATTAACGTCAAGATCATACTAGCCAAACGTGTTTTAATAATTAAGGTATTTAATAATATAGTAGATAGAAGTAGGAATAACATTTGTTTTTCCTTCGTTAGATCCTGAGGAGACTTTTACGAGTGAAATAATAAATACTGAATTACCTAACACTCCATTAGATCCATTTATGGAACATCCTGACACGTTTGGATATTATTCAGATTGTTCAAGTAATCCATGTAATAATCTAAATGATTCGAACCATACAGATCTCTACGACAAGGATTTGAATATGAATACTAGCAATGTTACTTCACAAACGCTTGATTCAGGATATATGTCGATAAATACCTGCGCAGAATCAATTCAGGTAAACAATATTTTTCCCTAAAAAAAATCATTAAAGTACACAATACATTTCATTAATCCCCTTCATTTTTGTAGGACAATTGCTCAGATTGCGATAACCGAGATGATTTTATGAATCTAGCTGATAACGATGCACACAGTAATGTGGATATTTCTTGTGATATAAATGATTTAGATACGACAGAAATTTCGGTTAATAAATCCAATGCTTCACAAACAGAAACCGAGGATTATGATTTGAACAATCAAAGAATTGAGAATCAGTCTAAAGAAAAAGAAAATAATTCAAGCTGTGGTTCCAGCAACAATGAACATTCCGATGAATCACACGAGTTGCAAAATGATAATAATCCGACAGATGTTAGAAATGACAACTTGACCACAACAGCTGATTCTAACATTACCGTTGAAAGTAATGAAACTGTTACACAAAATAACGAAGAAAATGACTCAAATTTAATGGACATAGATGCAGGATATACATCTGCTGATTCTGATACAGTGTTGACAAAAGAGAATAGTAAAAGGTATAGTATTTACTTATAAAAATGTGACCTGTAATCCGTTAATAGCTATTACATTAATTTTTTCGTTCTTACAGTAACAAAGAGGAGAAAAAATCTAATAACCAAAAGAACCCTTTGAAGAAACAGATAATACAGCCTATAGCATTTGAAAATGGAGTTCCCGAGAAGTTACAAAGGCCCAGGGCTGAATTTAAGTTACCGTGTCCCATTTCATTATTAAAATCCAGACCCGAATTAGTAAGTCGATAGAAGCACTCGGTGCACTTGTAACTTTAAAAAACAATCACTATTTCATGTGTTTTTAGCGAAAACGGAAATTGTCATGCGAGCCAAAGAAACAAGAGTGTCTGACGAGGTTCCTTTTGAACGAATCAGAGACACCAAGGAAAAAAATGACTATGTACTCCCCTACTCGACAATTCTTTACACCGATGAAAAAAGGTAAGAGTTACGATAAAGGGTGTAATTTTATAGTGTATTTTTTACCTCGCTTTGATATGTTGTCAACAAATGGTTTTGTAAATTCCTCCTATTTATCTGAGAATGGATGGATAAATTATACGTTTTGTTCATTATTTCAGAGGATGTTGAAGAATTTGAGAAGACATTTGACGAATGTTTTAAAAACTCACGGTGCTCTGACATTTATTACTACGAAGCAGTGACGAGTATTACAATGGATTTGCTAGGTTTCCAATCCACAGTCGCTAAGCAAGATCCTCACGTAAACTCTGATGTCTATTCCGAGGCTATTTCCTGTGCAGATCCAGTATCGACAATTGAGTCCGAGACCCAACTATCTCCTTTTAATATGTTTACCCCTCCTAGTTCACCGAGTCCATCCGATACCTTTGGGGAAACATCGGAGCTGCCTATGACTTTACAAAATTATCAGTTTCATATTAGGAATAAAGTGAGAGATATTTTCAAAGACAGGAATGCTCAGTCTGAACTCGAACAAAATGTCGCAGATTGGCATCAAAGTATAAAACCAATACTGAAAGAGGCAGAGCAGAGGTCTGTATTTAATATCACGGATTACAGCTCGCGTGTTATTGACAGTTTGCATGAAACGAGTGATCACAGAATTGCTTTTGATGATATGATTCAACAAGAGTCACCTGCCGAAGCAGCGAGATATTTCTTAGCATCCTTACAACTGGTACGTATCCATATTTATACACTTAATGATAAATTTTAATTCTGTTATTGATTAAACGTTAAATTAAAGAAACTTATTTCCATCTTGTAAATGAGATTGTTTTATATATATAACCTAAATGTTACGGTGCATTTCAGAGTCTATTTGTATATATGTGTGTTTATTTTATGTATGGCAGGCAAACACAGGAAGCATTAACGTCAATAACACGAGTGGAGCATGTGGCAACGTAGTACTTGCGCTACGCAAGGAAGAAAGAAGTAGAAGAAACATCAATGTCTCAGAAATAGTGAACCATTCAAATGATTCTTTACCATCAAGAGTCACCGATAATGTTCAAGCATCTACAGAAGTAACAGTGCCGTTGATGTTCAGTGGAGAAAGTTGTTCACCTCAAGTGGTTAAAAGCAATTCGGTGCATACCTTTACTAAGACAAATGGTGCGCTGAAGAATTCGAACTCACTACTTTCGTGATGAAAATGGCGTAGTGTTGAATCGTTTACATTTTGAAGGAGTCGTACGTGCACATTTCTCCCAAGTGATCTTTGTTGCTTTAAAAAGTATGTGCTCTTAGGAAAAATGTATCACTTTGAAGCGTTCTTGACAACACTTCAATATGTACATTTCACTTGAGCAGTGCAGTTCTAAATGTTCTCTGAAACACGTGGATGACATCAATTACTTGCGGAACATGATTTTCTACACTTGTAGAAGAAAAATTACCCGATTGGAAGTCACATTATTTGATTAAAAAATGTATATACGAAACAGGAGGTTGACGGTAGCCATAACTAAAATATGTAAAGGAAAGCCGAGAAGAAAATTTAGATACCAATGTAATTCCAATTTTTATAACGTCGCTTATTTAATCATTCTTTTCGCGGAGAACTAGATTAAAAGTATTGCAAGTTACGGGCCCATAAAATTTCTATTTTTGATATATTTTAGATTAACCTTCAGCATAAGATATTTTGTACCTTTTACATTTTACATAGATGCAGCATGTAGTCATCCTGTGGGTGAATGGGTTCCGAAAGAGACTAGTGTTTAATACTGTAATTTATATTCCGTTGACTTTCCTTTAAGTTTCAGTACCTCTGAATTTTATTCCACTTATATTTTTGCAAAACGTTTCAGTTCGTTATCATACCGTACTTTATATGCATTTCTATATTGAAAAAAAGAAAAATGCTGTGTTCCCGGTTCGATTATACGACACTTTTGTTTAAGTACTTCTCATAATTGTCATTTATATTTAATTTCGTTAGCTGTACATAACATCGTGTATATAACGTGTTTCCTGTACAAAACTTATGGTTAACGTTCCGAAAAAAGAAATGAGAAAAAAACATGCAAAGAACTTGCTCAGAAGTATCAGTGGTTGATAATATGTAAATTAAGATTTGTACAGCTGTAAGTAAAACAGAGTAATAGAAATCCGAGAGATTTCTCATTAAATAGGTGCTCTTTAAGGTATTCTCATTTGCCGCAGGGAAATTCTAAAATAGAAACATGTTTCAAATCATGCTTTTATTAATTTCCATTACATCGACTCAATAAGCACTGTTGCATTTATAAATTTATAAATTTAATAACAGTCAATTGCTTTTATAAGATGTTAGAGAACATTCTAGTGACGATGCAGCCCTTTGAATTTATTACTTCTTAACTATTGACTTTACATTAAAAGTAGAAGCTTATATAGAGTAACTTATATGTTGTATCTATTTTCTGCTAAACTTGTATTAACGTATAATAGATGTAAGGTGTAAAAAAGAGTTAAGAAATATTTTGTTACATGATCGATGAATATAGAGCCAACCAAAGAAAAAGTAATATATTTATTTTCTTACATTGTTTCCCACTATAACATATATTTATTAAGATAGGGAAGTATTGTTCATATGTCAAACGATATGAACAATACATACCTCCAACGTCAAGATTTTATCATTCGTTTTAATTATTAAATAAATACTTGTAACTGTATTCAGCTTATTTCTTATTATTATAACTGAATAGTACTAGTTAATAAATACACAACTCACAGATGTACAAACTTTTTCTTTAAAGTATATAAACTGGTGTATACTATGGTTAATTACTCCTAGCAATAATGCCACAATAAATAATTAAATGTACTATATCTAATTTGTTTTATTAATCAGATCCAATTTGCTTTCCATTGAAAAGGAGCTAATTCATCGAGTCTACGATCTAAATAACTTACACAACCAGACAATTGTGTTGCAGCTTCTTCTATCGATTCGGAATGGGTTGAAGCAACTTCGGGTATAGTTTTTTCAGCCAATAATATCTATTGTTCAATGAACAATAATATAAATTGTTATATTTACGGAAAAAGGCAACACTTTGAAGATATTTCTTAGGTATGAAATATATATACATAAATATCTTACCCGATTTTCTAAATTGTGAAGCTTTGACTTCAGAGCATCCATATAGTCAGGTAGCACCGTTCGCTTTTCAACGGGACCTTAAAAGATAAATACTTTATTTATCTAAACTTAGAGTTCATAATTTCCATCTTTTGTTGTTTTCTCATTTTGCCTATACAAGACAAATTCTGTGCGTAATTTCTTTTTGACATTTCTATGATATTCCAATGTACAAAAGATTACAAAAATTGCTATTAAAAATATTAGAAAGTCTTTGATAACAAGTTTATAGCTTTTACGACTATTTGACATCTGTAATTATATTAAGTATCTATCACCCTTAAAATCTTTTCTGTTTAAATTCATAAAAATTGTTTAGGTGCAAGAAAAATTCACACACCAATTAAATCAGATTACTCGATTGAATGTATTACTAAAATTATTTATTAAATTACTTGCTAAAAAAACTTACAGAATTGATGAACGTTCACAACATCGATAACAAATGGCCTGAAAGATTATATGAATAATGATTAGTTTCATTAATGAATTATCAACTTCTGTAAAAGCTATTGCTTCGATTAAATTACCTGTCCTTTCTGGAACCGTTTAAAAGCGCAAACAGAGGAACTAAACTGTTATTGTATTGTCTAACTTTAATCACTCGAGAACCATTATCTTCGATACCGATGCAGCGATATATTCGAAACTTCAAATCTTCGAATGATAAATTAAGTTCCAACATCAGGTGGCATAAGCATGATTGTACATCATCTGCATTACATTCTGGAATAAAACTTTATAATAGCAACTGACCACAAGTATTTAATATTATATCTAGATCTTACCTAACTGATCGTATCTACGAATTAGGGCCCAAACGCTTACTTCGCTTATTCCCATTGTTCCCAAATAATATTAACTCGTATTAAATTTTTATGAATTAGATATTCTTTTTCATAAATGTAAACAACCAAGATAAGAAATTGCACTTCCGCTAAAAATCGAAGAATTTAGCGATGAAACAGCTGTAACTAGGTAAGCATTTCTGTAGGAAAAAGTGAGATTACATTTTTACAGTAATACCTATTCCCTCCTGTTGTAGCGCTGAAGTAGCTCTCCAGTCTATAAATCCATTTTTAATCTATAAGGTCCGGTTTAAACCCTCTGTAAACCGACTAAACTCCGGTTAATTCGAGTTGTGGAGAGGGTTGTGCAATGGCGCGTCATTCGAGGCTTAAGGGAAGTATTTTGCATAAAATCCAAGTAAAATACCTAATAAATTACAAACAGCTCTCCAGTCTATAAATCCACTTTCCAATCTATAAGGCCCGGTTTAAACTGCTGTAAACCGACTAAACTCCGGTTAATTTGAATTGTGAACAGGGTTAAGCAATGGCGCGTCATTCGAGGCTTAAGGGAAGTATTTTGCATAAAATCCAAGTCAAATATTTAATTAATTATTCGACAAAGATGGCGGGACTGTAACCTCACTTTTTCAAAAATGATCAAAGTATACAACACTTGTAAATGAACATTTAAGCCATAAAAGGAAGGATTAAAGAATAATGGCAAGTAGGAGCAAACCATTAAAAAGATCTTCGAAATTCCAGGTTTCCATGCATTTCATGGAAAATATTGAATTTTTAAACACATCAGGAACAGAAATTGCAGAAACATAAAGTCCCATATTCATGTAATTTCCATGACGTATGAAATTTGCAAAGTAAAATACCCAGTAACATCCTGTAAAAAGCTGCGTAAATTACCTAGGGTATTTTACTTACCCAACCCTGACCGGGGCCCACCGGCACGTCTTCTCGCCCCTGGCCCCGGATTTCCCGGGAGCCAATCAGAGGGGAGAATTTTCGCGCTACCTGTTACGAAATCCGACGGGTGTCAGAAAAACACGTGTTCTTGGGGTTTTGAGGGCAGCAAAGGCAGTTTCTGGGAGTGGGTAAGAGGAGCCGAGGACGATCCGGGCGGAGGAAAGAGTTCCCGGAGCACTCGGAGGCTCGTCTCGGGGGCAGAAGGTCCGGCGGTCGCTAACCTCAACCGCCGTCGTCGGGGAAAGCGCGCACGGCGTGCTCGCGGTCGGCCAGGAGAGCGGCCATTTTATGTTAGTAATGACGTAGAGGCTGGGTGTAGCTTCGCGTTCAACCGTCCGTATTCGTTGGAAGAGGCGAGAAAGCTAGAAATCGTTCCGATGGTGGGACCGAGGTAGATGCCCGGAAAGAGCAGAGGAGGTTCGTGATTAGTACGTTAAGTAAACCGAGCGAGCGAGCGGCCGAGGAGCGAAAAGGTAGCCCGATTCGGTTTACCGCAAGCCGCGAGCATGAGCGAGGAGAGCAACCCACGAACGCTGTACGTGGGTAATCTGGACGCTAGCGTGTCGGAGGATCTGTTGTGCGCGCTCTTTTCGCAAATCGGTGCAGTGAAAGGATGCAAGATCATAAGGGAGCCGGGGAACGACCCGTACGCCTTCGTGGAGTTCACGAATCACCAGTGCGCGGCCACGGCGCTGGCCGCCATGAACAAGCGGTCCTTCCTCGAAAAGGAAATGAAGGTTAACTGGGCGACCAGCCCGGGGAACCAGCCGAAGCAGGACACGAGTAACCATCACCACATATTCGTCGGGGACCTCTCGCCGGAAATCGAGACGCAGACCCTGAAAGAGGCATTCGCGCCCTTCGGCGAGATCAGCAACTGCCGGATCGTCAGGGATCCCCAGACGCTCAAGAGCAAAGGGTATGCCTTTGTTTCTTTCGTCAAGAAGTCGGAGGCCGAGGCGGCGATAACGGCGATGAACGGCCAGTGGTTGGGCTCGCGCAGTATCAGGACAAACTGGTCTACCAGAAAGCCTCCTCCGCCGAGGTCCGAGAGACCGCGACACTCTAATAACAGTAAACCCAACTACGAAGAGGTAAGCGGCGCTTTGGGACTTTCCTAAGCTAGCGTTTCGAGAGCTACCGTCGTGACTCCTCGATATCGCAACCGTTGCCCGAAGCCAGCGAGGACGTTTGAAACGCGCGTACGGTCTCGACGCCCGTGTAGCGCTACCGGATTGTAATGCGACCGGCCTGCAGGACCGAGTTCACGACATAGCGCGAATGAAACGCAAGGTGTATTTTGTGCTCTGCGAGAATTCAGTCCTGGATCTAGGTACACCTACACGTATTTCTCAATTCTGCGTTGTCGTCGTTACGCATTGTCGTCATTACTGCCTGTCAGAGTTTTTAAAGTAGAGAGGCATACGAAACCATGTGCGCGCTCGAGTATTCCTCTCCTGTGATTTTTATCCGATAAGCACTGAGCTCACCGCGTTTATGTTTGGCAGGTATATAACCAAAGCAGTCCGACCAATTGCACGGTGTATTGCGGCGGTTTCACCAGTGGTATCACAGAGGAGCTGATAAGGAAAACGTTTACCCCATTTGGCACTATCCAAGACGTCAGAGTGTTCAAGGACAAAGGTTATGCCTTCATTAAATTCACGACTAAGGAAGCGGCGACGCATGCCATTGAATCGATGCATAATACGGAAATCAATGGCAGTATCGTAAAGTGCTTTTGGGGGAAAGAGAACGGAGACCCTAACAGTGTCGGCCCTAATGCCAATCAACAGGCCCAACAGGTGAGGCACCGTACAGACCATTTCTTTGAAACGGTTCGGTTCTTTTAGTTCGATCCTTGTCCGAGAGTTCAAAAGTCTCCATAGAAACCCAGAAAAATACAGACATATGATGCTCGATAAGTAGTACGTTAACCAACATAGCAGCATCGTAATCATCTCTCCATCTCTTAATGGTATAACAATATACAGTTAATTGAATGTGCTTTTTATCTTACAGTATTCACCTTTGATACGCGCCTCTCCCTCCCATATGTGAAATGCCATTGACTAACGTGTGCTCTCTCTCTTTTTTATCTACGCTCCTTGGTTTATTAGCCTTCTTGAGCATTAAGTGCGAACATAGGAGTTGGGCTTTCATGGAACCTCTGAATTCTTTGTTGTACATCATCGTTAACGTTTTGCTCCATCTCACTCTTTTATCTACGCTCCTTAGTTTATTAACCCTTCTGAGCATTAAGTGCGAACATACAAGCTGGGCTTCCATTGAACCTCTGAATTCTTTATTATACATCATCATTAACGTTTTGCTCCATCTCACTCTTATATCTACGCTCCTTAGTTTATTAACCCTTCTGAGCATTAAGTGCGAACATACAAGCTGGGCTTCCATGGAACCTCTGAATTCTTTATTGTACATCATCGTTAACGTTTTGCTCCATCTCACTCTTATATCTACGCTCCTTAGTTTATTAACCCTTCTGAGCATTAAGTGCAAACATACAAGCTGGGCTTCCATGGAACCTCTGAATTCTTTATAGTACACCATTGTTAACGTTTTGATCCATTCGCTCTCTTTTAATTATGCTCCTTGGTTCGTTATCCAATTTTCTGAGCATAAGGGCAAACATACAAGCTGTGGTTCCATGGAAACTCTGAATTCTTTGTTGTACAAAATGGTTGACGTTCTGTTCCATTATTTAGGTGACGGCGGGGGCCGGTCAGTACGCATACGGCTACGGCCAACAAATGGGTTACTGGTATCCGCAAGGCTATCCCCAGATGCAAGGCCAATTCTTGCAGCCCGCTCAGTACTACGGCCAATATTACGGACAGCAAGCTCAGTACATGAACAGCATGAGGATGCCCGCTCCTGCTGCCGGAACATGGCAGCCCGGCCAAGCAACAGCCGCGCCTCCGTCAGCGGCCGCACCGCTCCAACCGGGCCAACAGCCCGCCATGGTAACATACACCATGCCGCAGTATCCCACACAATGAAACCGATTGTACCAACTGACGCCATCTAAAAGTTACGTACGAAAAATTGAACAGGGGCTTCCGCAGAAATCGCTCCTTTATATACCAGTTAAATCACGTGCGTTATCGTCTCAGTCCGTAAGGGAGCTCAGCCGTAGCCCTCCCGACATGTTTCTGCGTGATAGCTTTTTCACCCAGACCGTTCGCTGCGACTTGTTTTCGATTGACAGTAACGTAACTAGAGGACCCTCCGACACGCCGCGACTTTCTAACGCACGTGTCTTCGTTATTCGACTCCACGTGGCGATTAATACCGCCACGGTGGAAGGAGACGAGCGACACGGGATCATTTAACATTGATTGGCACGGTCGTCGCCGACCATGCTTCCCCGTTTTTCAACCAGAGCCTGATATCAAACTCGAGCGGAGACGTGTACACGTGGTATATCAACGGGAATTTCTTTGAAAGCCCCTAGGAAGAGCCCTGCATTCGTTAGGCGGCGTAGAAAGTACGCTAACGAGGCGCGCGACTGTCATGATGTTATATTTTTTAATATTTTTCCCCAATGTGCGAGCCCTAGTTTATTTCGAGTCGTTGATGACCACCGTCACGAATGTTCGTTTGCGATCGTGACCGAGGACGATACGGGACGTAGGATGTAAGGTAGAGGACGTAGCTAAACACGGCGCCTGTGATGTAGCTAGACTCGGACGTCTGTACGCCGTTACGTATGCAGGGTCCTTTTTCCATTTTCTTTTTCTTCTTTTTTTTTTTTCCTTTTTTTTTAAACCCCAGGTGTATAACACGACAAACGAGTTCCAAACTTACTCCGATGCGAACCATTTATCGTCGGTGGGCCGACGCACGCCCGAGCGAGGAAGATTTAGTCCTAATTCGTCTCGACCTGGTCGACTAACCGTTAGACTTTGTTAACACCGAGCTATTGTTACGCGTGTTGAAGACAATTTTTGTATGAAACTCTGTTAACGATCGCGGGTCGTTCTGATGCCCTCGAGATGAGAGTTTCGCCGCTATCTTGGAAGACGCGATCGTTTACACCGAGGTCCGTCCTCGTGCCTCAATTTTGGCGTTAAGGTGATATGAAAGGGTGATTTTGTATGCAGAATTAGAGGTGAGAAAAAAGGTGATTTTGTATGCAGAACTAGAGGGTCGGTCGCGGTCATTGATCGCGATCTCGGTCTTCATTGTTCGTCCCCTGATCGTTTTAATCAACCGATCACCGAAACTCGCTTATGCCATCGGATTTTGTTTCTTTGATCTAATGAAACTTTTGACACCCTCGACCACGACCTAAAGACATGTATCGATGTGTATCATGTATATTCAAAATGCGAACCGGAATCCGTCGGAAAAGCGGTGCCTTTGTTTCGCGACACGCACACGCACGAGAACAGCGCTTTAGTAAAGGTGGACGTGAAGATGTTTGTAAAGCTTTTCGTCAAACTGGGGGCAACGAATCGTTGGAAACTTCACACTTTATGAAAGCTCTAAGGTGGAACGCGGTGCTCGTGGAATTTCATTTTTCACACAAGATATGTATACTTGGTTCTGGTCTGGGACTGAAATTTTGTATTAAAAATGAAATTTCATGAGCGCGTTCTTTCTTACGGCCTCCGTAATCAAGTGCTGAGGTTTCAAATGATTCGGTGCATCCGGTTTTGAGATAAGCTTTATATTTCGACGTTTTAAGTTTATTGAATGACCCTTTCGTATCACCTTAAGAGCGCGGTGAAGTCTCGTCAGTTTTGAATTTTGTCGCCAGAGGCGCGGGAGTCGCGGGAAACTCGTAATCAGTATTCCAAGCGAATTTGCTAATACATGCCACGACACTAAGTAGATGTACACGAAATGTGGTAGCCGGTCGGTTTATCGCGGATCGTGCACGGCGAAACGAGATTATCACTCTTGGAAAATCGGCGAGGTGGGGATAATTCCACGATATACGGAATTTCAACGGAAAAACGACCGGTTGACACGTTTTACACGTCGACTGATCGGTAAGGCGCTCACGTTTTCTTTGCAAACGTCTAAATTTGAGCCAAATACCGACAATCGGGATTTCACGCGTTTACCTCGCTTCTGACGTGATAATTCAACGTGACTGACCTGGATTTGCTGGACCCTTAAGGTGATATGAAAGTGTCATATATACATACCAACGAGTAAGAAAAATTATAACACTTTTCTCCAAATTGGGTGCGCCGAATTATTTGAAACTTCATCACGAGATTATGGAGGCCCTAAGGAAGAGCGCGATACTGGGGAAATTTCATTTTTCGAAAAAAATATTGTATTTATCTCGGACAAGAAAGAAAAGTGACATTTTGTTGTCGAGAAGTAATATTTTAAGGACGTCACGTTCTTCCTTAGGGCCTCCATAAACACGTGTTAAAGTTTCAAGTAATTTGGTGCACTCAGTTTGGAGAAAAGTTTTATAGATGTCTTCATGGTTTGATATATATAGAATGACACTTTCATATCGCCTTAAAAGTCGCCTTTTAGATACTTAAAGACGAAGGATAATCTATTAAGATGTCCTTTAACCTTTTCGATAAGGCTCTGCCAATTGTTAGGGTGTTTGGATACTAGAATCGCGAGGACAGCGCTATTATCACGACCAGTTAATTAAGGTGATATGAAAGGATCATTCTCTATACATACATACACTGGGAGACATCAATGCCCTCCCATCCTGCACAGGCGATGTCGTACCTGCAGGGGAGGATATTCATGTCCGCCATTATACATATATACATGAAAATATTTATAAAACTTTTCTACAAACTGGATGCACCGAATTATCTGAAACTTCAACACGTAATTATGGAGGCCCTAAGGAAAAACGCGATGCTCGTGTAGTTTCATTTTGTCGAGAGAGAAACAAAAATGTCTTTTTGATTCTTGTTTGAGATAAATACACATTTTTTTTTTTCGAAAAATTAAATTTCTCGCGCATCGCGTTCTGCCTTAGAGCCTCCATAATCCCGTGATGAAGTTTTAAGTGATTCGGTACGCCCAATTTGGAGAAAAGATTTATAAATATTTTGACTTTTTTGTATGTATATACATGACACTTTCGTATCACCTTAATATTCCCTGGAATGAAAAAGAGTTAGACGATCAAAAAATGATAGAAAAATCGAACTTGACTAGGGCTACGAATCGGTGTAAAAATTTTACCCGTATTAACAATTATTAATTGGACACGGAGAATCTGACGAGCGTTTGATGATGGGTCATAAAAATTACTCGTGGTCGAGAAAGGGTTAACGCTAAAATTAAGGCTTGTGTACGGACCTTAAGGTCTATCGCGAATGTCTTTACCACGCGTATCGAGGAATCGGTGTGGACTGGGCCTTAGTTTATTCCCTGCGAGGAACGGCTTAAAAGTTAAGGTGATACGAAAGGGTCATTCTATACATATAAAAGTCAAAGTATATATATATAAATATAAAACTTTTCTCCAAACTGAGAACACCAGACAACTTGAAACTTCAACACGTGATTATGGAGGCCCTAGGGAAGAACGCGATGAGATTTTATTTTTCACAGAAAGAAAAAAAAGACATGTGACTTTGGTTCGAGTCTGGGCTAAATAAAAAAAGATGTTTTTGTTGAAAAGTGAAATTTCACGAGCATCGCGTTCTTTTTTATGGCCTCCCAAGTGATGTGTCAATGTTTCAAATGATTCGGTGCACCCAGTTTGGAGAAAAGTTTGATTAATACCTTGACTTTATGAATTGATGTATTGAATTATCCTTTCATATCGCCTTAAATTCAGGATCGCGGTTAAGGGTTAAGGGCTAAAGGAGTTCGCTCCGTCTGTACAGGCAGATAGTGAGATTACCGTTACAACGTAAAGGATATGTATTGTACGTTGTTTATAAGCGAGCGATGCATCTCTACCGAATAAATTCTCTCTCTTTCTCTCTTTCTCTCTCTCTCTCTCTTGAAGCGGCACAAAATGGAAATTTCGTTCGGCGTGTGAAAAATCAGCCGGCTCGTTCACGCTGTCCTATGCACGACACGCTGCTGTATATTGGAAACATGCGACACGTCTTAACGTTTATTTAACCTCCGATTGCGGGGCGAAAGCCAATGGACAATCGCGATTTTACCTCTCCAGCGTTTTGTATATTGTCAGAAATTTGCGGGGAGATGTTTCATGCCATTGTCGAAAGGGAGGCACGGCTCACTAGCGCCGTGGAACTGCTTAAAAAGGGCTAAATGTTCTTTGTCGGTAAAGAAAAAGGCGTCTGCAGATTTCAAATCTAGCGCGGTATCGATAGAACGAGAAGTTATCGCCTTTTCGTTTTTAGTATCATGGTCAGCGTAGATTGGAAATTAAGACTACGAATAGGATATTAAGTTGTATGCGTGAATGATGCAGATTACGAAGCGGCACGCACGTATACCCTGTTTTACCGATCGGGAAGAGTTCGCCACTTTGAAAGTAGTTCCAATTTTTACAGAGGGGTGTAGGGCGTAGAGGGCGCCAGGGGGCCGCGCCTCAAGTGTAAACAATGGCGTGAAACATCTCCTCGCTCATCTCTGATGTTATTTTCGAGGATTCGGTGGGATTTTCGAACACCGGGCTGTGGATCCCATGCTCTTCGCGTTTATGCCCATTCGGGGTCTGGGTTCCAATTTTTCTTTTTTTTTTTTCCCGAAGTACTGGAGTGTTCCGATAAGCGACTGCAAATTAAATGGGTTTTCAGAGTTTCAGACGGTCAATTAGAGATACGGATTGTATGCCATTTTTCTGCGTGCGTCCTTTTCTTCGATACAATTCTCACACTGTTACGGCGAGTTCTTTGTTACATGGGAGAAAAAATGGGTTTTTCAGTGTCCTCGCTTCTTTCATCTCGTCTCTCGCAATTTGTCAAAGCTCGTCTTATCAGTGCGTTCTTTTCTGAAGTTTAAACGCGAGATAAACAGAGGGAAGATTCATTTCTTTTTTAATTTCTTTATAAACATCTAAAATGATCGTGCTAATTTAAATTTCCCGGGGTTGAGACCTTCAGAAGGATCTTCGTCTTTGTGCGAAAAAATGTCATGTGATTCGGTGCAATCGGTTTGGAGAAATGTTTCATAAAAGACTGGCAGCTCGGATGACACTTTCATGTCACCTTAAGAGTGGCGAGGTCAATTAATCAGTGCCCCCTTAAAGGCGTAACGAGAAACATTTTTTTTTTATGGAATAAAGAAATTGGTGCAAAGTTGGAATCACCCTATCCAACATGTGATGGTACCGATCCGAGGAAACATTGTAACATGCGTTTCAATGACTCTGGTCACATTATTCGACCTGCGTATAATGTGAACAATGCCATTTAAACTCATGATACAATGTCTTGTTGGAGTGGCATCGTCACATGCCTACCTGATACATGTCAGATGTGTGAATTCAGCTTTACATGCGTTTCAGTGGCACTCTTCACCGTATGCTCAAGTGAGACATGGTGAACAGAGGCATTGAAAAGCATGTCACAATGTTTTGTTGGATCTGCATCGTCACATGTCTGCATTGATACATGTCAGATGTGTGAATTCAGCTTTACATGCGTTTCAATGGCGCTGTTTACCCTATATTCAAGTGAGACAGGGTGAACAGAGGTATTGAAGTACATGTCACAGTGTTTTGTTGGATCCGCGTCGTCACATGTCTGCACCAATACATGTCAGATGTGTGAATTCAGCCTTACATGCGTTTCAATGGCGCTATTTACCCTATACTCAAGTGAGACATGGTGAACAGAGGCATTGAAATGCATGTCACAATGTTTTGTTGGATCCGCATCGTCACATGTCTGCATTGATACATGTCAGATGTTGTAAATTCAGCTTTACATGCGTTTCAATGGCCTTGTTCACCCTATATTCAAATGAGATAGAGTGAACAGAGACATTAAGATGCATGTTGCAATGTCTTGTCGGATCAGCATCGTCACATGTCTGCACTGATACATGTCACATGTTGTGAATTCAACTTTACATGCGTTTCAATGGCACTGATCATGTTATATTCAGGCCAGACAAAGTGAACAGAGGCATTAAAGTACATGTTGCAATGTTTTATCGGATCATGTCTGATCTGATCATGTTTTATCCGACATGTCTGAACCAATACATGTCGGATACTTACGGTGTGAAAGATGTATTGAAGAGAAGGCTGTACACCGAGCGTATGAAAAACAGTCCACACGGTTTAAACAGCGTTATCCTTATCGAAAATAAAGTCGAAAAGTCCCAATCCATTTTTTTTTTCTTCTAAAATGCATAGTTTACCTGTAATAATTAATTAATAATGGTAAAATAGCCTAACAGACGCGTCGGCACTGTAGAGAAAAATGGTACATGTCTTTTCGCCTCCACTTTCGACAAGGGTAGCTCTGCGTGAACCATGTCCACAGTTTTTAATACACAATCCGTACAGAAAGACGACCCATCGTTTGTATCTTTAATTAAACATGTCTGGAAAACATTGAATTTGACATTATTCGTTGAAGCTCCCTCGTGCATTGCGTCAAGCTTTAAGGTGATATGAAAGGGTCATTATATATATGTTA